GGTGGCTGAGAAATCGCCAGATATTAAGAGATAAGTGAGATTGCAAAAGCCCCATGCATACCCCTTTAAAACATTCTAGTCCTTAGAGGGTAGGAACTGTCAAGTGTCTTGTCTGCATGCGAGCCTAGTGGCTAATTAGGCGGGCGCTTATCCCCGGTTTCTGTAGAATGAAGCGACTAGGAGTAATTCTACTTCTAGACTTCTTCTTCGATGTTAGTCCATCTCAGGGTTACCCCCAGCATTAAATTCGCGGGACCCAATTACACGCCTGGGTGAAGAGAGGCAGTGTGAGGGTAAAGTGTCCCGCCCAAGATTACAACCCGGTGTCCGCAGACAGGGCTCGAACCAGGAACGTTCGATCCGGAGACGAGTGCTCTAGCCATGAGGCCATCGCGCCTTGTGCCTTACTTTAAAGTATGTACGTCCAGCGTCGTGCCGTCATCGTGTTGTTTATTATCATTTCTTGGTATTTTTTCCTTAATAATATGATTTTAAGCCTTCATTCAATTTGAAAGCACATCTTTACCTCAAAAAAGAAATGTATAATACAAAAATTTGTCCTCAGAAAAAGAAACGGGACATAGCTGCTTTAAACCACCGTGATCCTTTATTTTGATGACGATCTCCGTCATTGTTGGGCAAACAGGCGTTGCCCCTTAGTATCTATTTCTTTGTAAAAATTGGCCAGTTTGTGGTCCCATATTTTCATGAGTTTGCAACGGATTCTTATGAAACCTCTCATATTTTCTAAATTTGGAATGATAAATCGAACAGTAAGCTTTAATTTTTTTTTTCGTGGGAATGGAAAAACAAAAACAACAACAACAACAACAACAGGAAAAGCGGGAAATCGGTAAAAACGTCCATGGTATTCTTGTACAACATGGTAAATATTCATAATGTTAAACCCTTCTTCCCCTCCCCCTCCCCCCTGCAAAACAATTAAATTGATAACAGAATGGCTTTCCGTAAGCATCATAATTGTAATTTGGATACAAAAAATTACGTAGACCATGTATATGGAACAAATATTTGTAATTGAGGCAACATGGTTTAAGATGTCGAATCCAGTTAAGTGTCAGAATGAAGCGCTTAAACGTACTAACCTGCGAACAGGCTCCCAGCGGGGACGGGAAAAAGACAATTCGGCGAGCAAAGAGAGCCGTTAAGCTTCACCAGACGGCTCTCGGCTAACCCCGCTCGCCCTAGACCTCACTCGGTTAGCTCGCACCAAACCCGACCGGGAGCCTGTTCGCAGGCTAGAACGTACCAAGTTTGAGGGGAGATGGTCAGGGAGCTTGCCAGTTACAGTTGTTATTTTACCTGTTGACATCCTGATGTCTTACAGTGCAAACTGTTTTATTAATCTAACGTGCTGCCTTTGTTTTAGATTTGTTGGTGGGTTCCCAATCTGGCGCAGTCAGCAGATACTTATAAAGCAATAGGGATTTAGAGAGGGGCAAAATGTGACTATGATCACCATCAAGACAAGACGCCAGTTGTTGTGTACCCAGCTTCTACGTATGTATCGGTACAAATCTCGGTCGTATTTGTCGACAATTGTCATGAAAACGAAAATGACGTTCTTACCTTCGGGCGGAACATCCTATACGCATCGTGCCGGTAGTCGTGTGAACCAATGTCTGTTGCTACAATGCTCTTCGCTTTCAGAGTCCATGTGGGCTACACGTGATAAATCACAGCAATGTAATCGTCATCTCAGTCAAGTGAATGTAATAGTTTCTGAGGCCTTCTTTTATCTTCATTATTCTATATCTTTAATGATTAAATACTTGTGGAGACCATTCTCAAAATTTTCAAAAGAAAAACAATTAATTTAACTGGTATGGTTAGACATTCCGCAAATGTATTTGTTTTAGAGAGTTTCAGAATCGAACGTCCATTGTCAAACTAAAATGTGCTGAGGGAAAGAAAGATACACCAACTTTTAAAATACTTGATAAAGATCATTGGGTAAGTGAAGATGAAAATAAGCTAAAGTTACTTCTAATCATAGTGCCCTAGGTAAGTGAAATGTTTATGAAAAATTGACATATTCTTGTGAAGATGTTTTAAAATGTAATCAAAGGGTTTATGATTATTTATGTCATAGATTTAGTTTTGTGCACGAAATTTGAGAGAATCTGCAAGCCTTTTGAAAATCACTAGGTGCTACGTTACCGCTTGTCCAGAGTTAAAAGGGCAGAAACTGGAAAATAGAAAATGCCACTATGAAGAGACGCATAGAAAGAGATGATCTTTTTAAGAATTCGTTTTCTGTTTTACTCTTCCATCTTCAGATATTCGAGTTGACCCACTTTTGGGAGGCTTGCCCTACTAAGTCACCGCCACATCCGGAGCCTTCTAACAGTAAGTGAATTGGTGTCAGTAAAACATTTTCATGATCATGCGTAGAACTTCCAGTGCCATAACCACCCTTGAAGGCCTGAGAGTATCGATTAGCTCTCAAGTAACTTACCAAAGTGATATTTAGTGCTAATGTAAAGTTATAGTTTCAGGAAGAGGGGTTTCGGGATGCCAGTTGAATGATCGCAACGGATTGCATCATTTAAGGCTGCAGATATATAGATGAAGTTTGGTCGATAGTTTATAAAATAATCGATACATTACGCGCGTTCTGATTGGTCGAAAACCTAGGACATTAATAACTTACTGAAATATGGTCGAAGAATAAACTACACTTTTCCTTTCCTGCGGAAAAGTCTGAAATAAAGCAAAAGCAATATCTTCAAATATGACCTTTGCATATTTTTATAATAGGGTGTGCCATTATTCACTATTATTCTTAATATGTGTGTCTAGGCCCAGGTGTCCCGGTAATTGTCGCAAGTGCTGTTGGTGGTTTCTTTGCTCTTACTTGGCTTATATATGCCGTCAGGTATTGTAAGAAAGAACGGAATGGAAACAACGATGATGGGGAACGACAACCTATCATCGATAACGAAATCCATAATCCAATTGAAGAATTGGACCCAGCGAATCGGTCACGGCCATCGCCCAGTGGTTCATCGCACGCTAAAGCTGACGTCAACGTTATTGGAAGTGTGCATTCTTAAGGAACTGTTTTTTTACCTGTGTTTGAGATTTTATCATTTTTTTTGTTATTTAGCACCTGACTTGGAATGCCTCTATTACAATTTCAGCAGTTTACGTAGGAGATCCTACCTTAACAGGAAAGAGTTTTTTCACGAGCGAATAGTAAAAAAGTTGTAAACGAATGGATAATCGCTTCTAGAGAACTAAGGCGAGTGGTTTAGTCGTTGTAGTTGTCAGGAAACCAACAATCTAGAGATATTTTTAACCCGGGAATTGATTCATGGGCAGCCAGCGGGTAGACCGATGACTGACTGTCAAGTGAACGTGTAATCTGATTCGCGACACAGTGACCGCCTAATAGAGACCTTAAGCACCAGGACAAGAGCTACGCCGACGGCATACCGGAAGTTTATTTTCTGTCCCAGTCATGCGGAGAACCTAAAAAGCTGATTGCAATCTGCCGTCGTCCTAACGTTGGCGACGCCACATTCACTGTTTTGACGTAGTGCGGACAACGTGATAGTTCATCGCAAAGTTTTGAGTCCTTTTCTTTGATTTACCG